GTTTTCAAGCTTTGTGCCTTCCCTGTCCTGCTGTTGGTGGTGGTCACGGGGTCTTTCCTCTTGCAGCACGTTCCGAAGGTGAAGCGATACGCCTCTTTCAACCGTCCCGCGATCCTCAACACTGCAGGATTTTTGATGTCCGCGTTGTTCGTCTCGGTGAGCCTGATGAGTTTAGAGGGCTTTCGCTGCAAAGCCAGTCCCAACGGAAAATCAATTCTCCAAACCTTCGGTGCCACGGTGTGCTGGGAGGGCGGAGAACACAACACTCTGATGGTATTGAGCGTGATTGCCATCCTCTGCTATCCGGTCACATATCTGTCCTTGACAGGGATCGCCTCATTCGGGTTCGGTCCCCTGACGGTGAAGTACGGTCTCCGGTTCACCAACGCTGTCCGCTTCCTGTCCGGAAGGATGCAACCCGACTACGTCATGTTCGGCTTCTGGTGGAATGTGCGCAATTTCATGATCTCGCTGGCACCGGTGATAAGCAACAACTATGGCGGGCAGATCATCCTTCTCCTGGCTGTCTTCGTCTTGTGGCTAATCGGACAAGCAAAGTCTCAATGCTGGCGCTTTGAGCTCCTCAATCTCTTGGACATGATAGTCAGTGGCGTGCAGATCATGATGTTGTGCTTGTTTGGCCTGCTAGCTGACGATTCCATTGACCGTGCCCTGGTGGGATGGTGTATTATGACCATGTTTGTGTGCGTTGTCCTGCTGCTGTTTGCGGTGGCGTCCACCAAGATTGTCCTCCACATGCGCAGCAAGACGCACTACGACGTTTTCTTGACGCACCATAAGGCTGCTGCGGCGCTGTCTGCCAGGCACCTGAAGACGCTATTCAACATGTGCTCCACTCTGAACATCTTCCTGGATGTCGATGAGCTCGACAATTTGGACAACCTCAGCTTCGCTGTGAAGCATACGCGCAAGCTCTTGGTGCTGCTGACGAGCGACGTTCTTCGAAGGCCTTGGTGCGCCGTGGAGATCGGCACCGCCTTTCTCAACAAGGTGCCACTCGGCGTTGTGGATATTAATCAGGACGCGATCGAGCTCTCTGACAAGTTTATCACCGACGTGACACAGTCTTTTAATTTTAGCTCTGCAGATATCGGCATCTTGGCCAAGAGTGGGATTACTGTGCAGGACCTGGACAAGGCTTATCGATACCTGGCAACGCTCCCAAGGACGCACTTTCAGCTCTCGATCCCGTTGGGGCAGATGCAGCTTGACTCGATGCTGGCAGCCGCTGGACAGGAGCTTGCTGCCTGGATGAAGAAGCCGAAGGTGTTGCCTCTGGACCCAGGGAAGTTGGTTTTCATCGTATTCAACACACGTGATGATGCTCAGTGCAGCGTCGCCTTTCTTCTCAGGCATCTCTTCCGGCAGCGACGCTGGGACGCTCGCCTTTTCTGCCCTGGCAGCGAAATGATGCAGCGCTCCAAAGATGGATCCTTCCAGCTGCAAGACTCGTCAGCAATGGACTTCGGGGACATCCTCCCGGTGCCGGGCAAGGCTGTGGCTGTGGTTTTGATGTCAAAGGGGTTGCCCTTTGATCCAGTTGCCTTGGGTGCAGCAGCCACCATTAGGCGTGCAGGCCTCGGTGCTCTCACGGTGCTGAGCCAGGAGTCCTTCTGGAAGCCAGATGAGGAGTACTTTGATCTCCTCCGTAGTGGTTCCGTGCTGCAGCCTGCGGATCTGCCAGTAGTGAGCCAGATCGCCCCAGGATACTCATTAACGGAGCTGGCTGACGCCTTGGCACCTCTCTACAAGATTTTGGCGTGGGCTGTCAGCCCTGAGCAGAATCAGAACCTTCTCCGCCAGGAGTTCAGCATCATCGAGGAACGTGCCTCGAAGGAGCTCGAACGCCGAATCCTCAAGGTGGAGGATCGAGGATCCAGGGCTTCTGAGTGCTTCCCGCCCGGAGCCACACCCAAGAGCTCTTTGGTGGAGGCACTCGCAGAGCAGCCCCCGGAAGAACCAAATGTTGGCCATGTGGAAGAAAAGCCAGAGGTGCTCTCGGAGGAGTTCTGAAGAGTAGGGCGTACGGCGTACTGCATACTTGTTCTGAGGCACAGGTTGGATAAGCAGAAGCAAACCGGCGCCGCATTTTTGCAATGAGTTTCTGAGGCCGCAGCACTCTGATACATTCTCGGCCAAACATTCCGCGAAGAGGCGTTCTCTTCAACTTTCTCTATGAGGAGTGAGGGGCTCTGTTTGGTCTCTTTTAACGGGGTGTTCTCAGAGAGTGGGGTTCCCGTATTCGAGTTGTCAGAGCACGTTTAGTTTTGCTGGGGTGGATAATGTCGTCGAAAATCGGGGACCTCTTCTCTGAGGCATGCCCAGATTTTATATAGTGAGTACGTCTGAGCCTGTCGGGGGAGGTTTCAAGGCAGCGCCTTTCTTTCCTGAGAAACCGCTGTGGGTTTTCAAGGCAGATTGAGGCGTCCTATCAGGTGCTTACCGGGATGGATGCAAGTTCCCTCCATTGCTTACGAGAGCGGCGCGACCTTGCAAGCTGGCTGAAGTACTCGTAATTTTGCCGGGGCAAGCCCTGTCTGGCCCACAACAAAATCTGCTCTGTCCTGCAACGGCACTGAACCGAGACTAGGACCTGACTGGGAATGATTGTGGTGCAGATGTCTCCCGGCAGATGACCTCACTGTGCGACGGCAGTGAGCCCTGTGGAAGCAAGCTTGGCCGACTGATGGGTTTTGCAGTCTAGGGATAGATAGATAGATAGATAGCTAAAGGATGAAGCCCGATGCCCCGAAAGCGCATAAAGATTTCGATGCAACTTTCCACATGAAAACAGAGGCAGCGTGCCAAGCTTGTTGCCGAAGCTATTGAATTGGTTTCCTTTCCGTGTCAGGGATCCTTGCCGTGACCTTGAAACTCCAGGCACGGCTCCCTGCGCAGGATTGTCCTTGTGACGCACCAGTTTCTGCGTCAAGCCCGATATATCATTTGCAGCGCCCGGGCTCTCGATAACTTTCTGGCTTTGTGTACGAAAAAGCACAGAAACGAGTTCACAAGCTGGCAGGTTAGCATCCTGAGCCCTGAATCCGAACTCCTGCCCCACGGGAGCTGCAAATGTGCAACACCCCAGCCAGCAAGTCGTGGTGAAAGCCGTGTCGGCTTGAAGGTTTGGGTTCATGGAGTCTGCAGGCAGACTTCTACGTCGTCGTACATGCTTGAGGAAGCACGCAGAATGATGTGGGGTCTGTGGTTGACAACATCTTGGGATTGTTGTTCCCCGTGCAGGCAGGCTGATGTGGGGGCCCCACAGCTCGAAGCTCTTGCATGTGCGTTAGGATTTTCTTGGCGGGCTGCTTCAGCTGAGCTGGCAGTTCGAAAGCGCGGTGCACACAATTTCACTTTTGCAAGGCAATCTCGCCTGTGGCGGATAGAGTTTACTGGACGATGAGAAAGTCTTGCAACCACAACCCCGAAACCAACGCGCTAAACTCTTGAGCTCGTATTTCTGTTGCACTAGTATTGACCCATGCTACCTGCTGTTTGAGTCCTCGAGACCAGCCATGCGGGAGCCAGAAAACCTTTCTTGTCGACACGTCTGGCCTGCTCGATCTCCAGAGGATGCTGTTTGTTGAGCTTCAGGTCCTAGGTTGAGGGGTTATGAGCTTCAAGGTTTGCAGTGTAGATGCCAGAACTACTCAGGTTTGTAAGGCCAGAGTATGATGACCTTCACTACAAGCCCTCAACACGCTTCGCTTAGGCTTAGCCATGCAGACGGAAAAGCTGGGGCTTTGTGGTCAAGAGTCAAGAATATGCGATCCAAAACCCGGTCAAAAGACACTAAACCCCAACCTTAAACCCACCAAGCCGGCAAAAAGCCCTGCTACGGCTACAGGCGCACCCGAGCCAGCCGCACATGCCAGGAAGCTTGCGAATACACTTGTGACCCTCTTTCAAAGCTGTTTTGCTCGGGTTGTTGGCGTAAGACACAAGAAGCGGTTTAGCAAACCCAGCACCGCAAAGCCTGAGGTTTGAGATGCTTTGACTTGGGGAGCCACATCATAATCACCCTAGTCTCAGCCAGTCAACGGCCAGTGAGAGCCTATGACAGTTCGCTTAACGTTTGGAGACTTTGTTTGCAAAGCCGCGCGCAGGCATTCGTCGAGTTCGGGCCACGCCTCCTGAGTGCAGTGTGGGGTGCCGAATCCCCAACAAGTGAGCTGGAGAGTTGAAATGAGGCATCTGCGAGTGAAGCATCGTGAGCCGTATTGATACGGAGAGCACTGCGAAGCTTCATTTGCCAGACGATCTTGTTGCTTATAAATGAAACATGTACCTATCTGTCCAGTCTTCCTCCGATTCTCTCAAGCTAGAGCATTCCCAGGAAGTACATGTATAGGAAGATCGGGCCGGTCTGCCAAGCAAGTTGCATGCTGTCGGGTAAATTGTTGAATTCGCTGCCGCTTGGCTTTTCCAGTGCGTTTGGCTCTATCGGCCGTGCTCAGAAAGTTCGTCCGCCGAAGCATTGAAGGACTCGGGGCCGAAGTTCTGGTAGTGAGGAGGGACTTGATTGGGCTTCCTCACAGCGCAAAGAAGCCAAAGACTCTACAGGGGTTCGGCCTGGGAGGGAGGAGCTGCCGTGAAAGCATGTGACGCTGTCACGTTCTTGCCACGTGTGTGTTCTTCTGGGCAGGACCGCGCAACACGATGCTGTCCACGGTTACTCGCCGTCTCTCCATGCAGGTGGCTTTGCTCAGGGCTTTTCCGCAGAATCGCGAATGACTATGCGAGCTATGCGGATTCGATGGGTATTTGCACAGCACTTTGTGGTGGTTGCTCGGCTGTCCATCCTGCAGGGTTCAGGTTTACAGCAAAACACGGTATGCACCCGAGCGGGCACATCAAACCATAGTGATGAAAACAACAGCCCACGATATTCCGCACAGGCATATACAGGCAGTTTCCGGATAGGCTGATTCGGACAAAACTGGGAAGCAAAGAGCAGCTAGCCTGCCGTGCCAGCGATGGTGCCGCATGCCGGTGCCACCTCACCGTCCGCGGTCAGAGTCGAAGACTGGTCTGCGGCCAGCGGCAAAGCCTCCAAGCAACTCGGTCGCTGTAGGATGCTAGGTTAGGTTTTCGGGCTGCTTTTTCTTGAAAAGACTTGCGAGGTGCCGGTGTGGGCATCGGCAAAAGCAGCGGCAGAAGTGGCAGCAAGGGGCGCTCGAATAGCAGAACTGATTTGCGACCGGAGGTGCCGGATACACCTGCCGTCCCTACACCTAGCCGCCAAAGTCTTCAGAGTGAGGTAGAGATTGACAGCGAAATTGCCCGATTGCGTGCAGAAAATGATCGCCTGCGCCAGCTACTGGAGAACGGTGATGGGGCTCCCTGGACATCCGTGTTGTTCCTGGAGCTTGAACGGGAAAGCTATGAGCAGCAGCGCATCCTCTGCTTAAAGCGGGAGCTGTGCATGGCACTTCAACGGCGACGCAGACTAGAGCAAGCTGTCCGTGCTGGGCATGCCAGCCTGGAGCGTGCACTTTATGGTGCGTTGAGTCAAGAGGGGGCATCCTTGCAGACTCTGGAGCAAGCCTTCGTAGATGGTACGGCTGCAGCTGAGTCTGATCTTGCAGAGGAGGCGATGCTCCTCGATGCAGACGCCGCGCCCAAGCAACCTGGGCGACGTGCCCCAAGCCCAGCACACACTCCAAGTTCGGCTTCTGCAGCAGGTCCAGCTACAAAGGCCACGAGTTCACGCAGACGCTTGGAAGCCACAGAGATTTACCAGCTTGAGGAGTCTGCGTTCCAGGCGGCAACTTCACTGATGGCCTTTGCGGAGGCCTCCGGCGAAGCCTGGGCTGATCAGCTGGCTCAGCGACTTCAGACGGTGAGCTGGCAGCTGCTTCGGGCCCGGGAGCTCCCCGTCACGAGTGCAGACGTCGATGCATCGACGGCCGCAGTTCGCAGGCGGCTTTGGAGATTCATGACTGGCCGTTCACTGGCGAAGTGCAGGGATCAGCCATCAGAAGCTGCTCTTTCTGGCCCCGATGTGACTTGATTGCCAGCCTGACTTCCCCCTCCCATCCTCGCTTTCTGATTCTGGGCAGCTCTGCCACAAAATTACTCATGCGCCTGCCTCAGATGGTTGCTACTCCAGTTCGGCTACCACTGTGTTTGCTCCGCGCTCTGCAAGATATGGTTGAGGCCGGGAGCAAGGGGAATGCGAGGATCCAAGTCTGAATTCCAGGATCCTTCTGTGTCATAGCAACCTTTCCGGAGCTCCGAAGAGCCGGCATAGCCAACGGCCACTACTAAAAGCAGAAATCCCCGTTCCAAGGCTGAAGGCCAGCTTACACACCTTGCCACACACAGAAGTCATGATAAATGCAATCGCGACAAGACTCCCGCCATGCGATTATGCAGGTCGCGAGCGGTGAGAAGGAGCTGCGGACAGAGGTGGAGCAAGCCGTCGCGAGCATGCTGGAGCTAGCGGAGCCTTTGCTTGCTAGTGGTACTATGAAGGGATCGATGAATCTAGGCGATCTGTGGGACCGCATCATCGTTTGTTGCAGTGGCGAAGGTGCAATGGGCAACCGCTGTTCTGTCCGCTCGTGCAGTTGCTGGTGCTGGTCATGGTGGGTCACATGTAGCACGGGTCTCAGAGCTCGTGCTTGCAAAGGATGTCGCTGTGGACACCCCAGCAAACTCAGAAGTCCCTGGCCAAACTCTGCACGAGGCCGCAGATGCTCGCCGTGAAGCTACGAGCTCGGCCAGACAAAACAAGCATCACTTGCACCTTTGCAGCGCACTGGCTTCTAGGCAAGTGGCGTTTTTGAAGCCTGTGGCGTTGCATGCTGCTGTGGCTAGCCATTCTTGCATAACTGGCTACTGCTTGGTGCCGTTCATCTCAATTCTTGTGCAAGTGCAGCTCCGTACACCGTGATTTTACGGGGAGGTCCCGTCAGCTACAAGTACTTGGAGGTTCATGGGTAGTTATAAGTAGGGTTATATGTAGGATAACTATACTTAAACCCCAGATTAAGGGACTTATAACCCCACTTATAACTACGCCTGAACCTACAAGTACTTGTTTGCCACAGGTGGCTCGCCCTGCGGCTGCGCTCGCCCCCGCCGGCCTGCGCTTCCACTGCCAGGCACATTTCCACAGCACAGAACTTGTTGATGCATGTGAGTGTGTGTCTACATATATATATATATATATGTCTACACATGTATATGTGTGTATGTGTACGCACCGTACGCACGCTTTTAAAGAAGATGGATGGATGGATGGATGGATGGATGTCTTGTATTGCGATGTGTGTGTGTGTATATATGTATATATAATATACACATGTGTGTATGCGTGTATGTATGCACGTATGCATATTTGTGTGTGCATGTGCACGTGTGTGTGTGTGTGTGCGTGTACATATGTGCGTGCGTGCATACGTGTGTATGGATGTATGTATGTATGTGCGTAGGTACGTTGTGTGTGTGTGTGTGTAAGTATGTGTTGTCGAAACACAAGAGACAGGCCTTGCAGGTTGACAAATCAAATCGATCATGTTTGAACAGGTGCCGTGTGGAATCTTCACGGACGAGCTCCGTGTGCAGGCAATGATGGAGGCGGGAGCCTTCATGATTAAAGAAGTTAGCATGATCGACGTTTGCACTGTCGCACTTCCTGAAGATGGCATATGAATGGTGAATGGGGTCATATTAGGCTACAGCATGGCTTGATTGGGGTAATACTGCTGATGGACGAAATCCTGCATTTGTTTTCCGCTGCCACATCCCTTCAAAACCCTGAATCTCAATATTGATGTCGAACATTGACATTAAGGGGAGGCGGAGGAGGCGAGTGATCCAGTGAACATGCCATGGTCTTCGTTCCGCGGGTCATGCAGGATTTTTGGTCCACTCGCCGTACCATGGGCTACATCCAGTAAGTCCGAACATGTTTGAACCGTCCTGGAAGTCCCCCACCTGACCGCGCAACGCAGTCACTGTGCCTGGCAGTGTTCCTGGCAGTCTTTGTGTGCGATGTCCTGCGAGGATGCTTCCACGATCCGCAAGGCCGTGGTGCAAGCCCAGGAGCTCCACAAGGCAAGCCCCTTTCGCTTCGCAGGGCAGAAGTGATGATGAGCTCATCTGCTCCATACGACTTCCCATCCAGAAACAGGATGAGACCATGGGACCATGGCTGTGCTTGAGAAAGCGCTGTCAGGCAGGCGGCTTGCAGGACGTGCACCAGCCTGCACCTCAAATTTCCGTGCTACAGTGTGCCGCGCCGTGCTTCTCGGTAATGCAAACCTCACAAAGAAAGAGGCCCCTCGTAGGTATGAAGCAACAGGCACGCATCAATGGAGCTCTTTGCAGGATGGTGCGCTGGATTGCCACGAAGGAGGATCACGCCCAGAAGATCATGACAACCACAGTACCTGGGCAGCAACGCACCCACCTACGAGTTGCGATGCTTCGTGTCAAAGGCTTCCTAATATAATGTGCGCGACAGGCCGACTACTTCCTTGCACAGAAGGCAGGGTCCGCAGAACCGAACCCGCTGCACGGTGCGAGGTTTCCCAGCAGTTGCCGGGCTGAACAGGTTAAGAAGGCAGACCTCAGCGAAGACGACTATCTCAAGCGACTTGCGCTTCACCATGATGTCATGGTCGGGGCCCGAAACATTTTTGTTGGTGCGAATTGCGAGTGTTGAAACCCAAAACCTTGCACGGTGAGCCGGGATTCTTGGCCTAAGGGTGTAGCTCTTCTGAGCTTGTGTAGCCTTCCCTGTCCACCTGTCCGTCCTGTTGTTACCTTGCACACCTCAACGACGTGCACCACCCCTCACAGTGTACTGCAAGCTGTATAGCGGTCTGTAGGCTACAGTTGGACCAGATTCTTCTCAGCACGACCCGCTTGCAAAGGTCGCAGCCATGAAGGCCAAGCAGTCCTCGGAGCTTGGCCCCGTTGACACCTTGGACAAGGCAATTGAGGCAGACGCCCAGCCGGCTGGGTGGGGGGTGACTCGGTTAGGCTCGGCTTATGTTGAGAAAGTCTGGATGTCGCTCCGGCAGGCCCTGGCGCCGATCTACAAGAAGTGAGCCCGAGCCTTTCCAAAGCTGGATGTGGCGGAGCATGGCGCAGCCACGTGCGCTGCCACATATCTGCCTCTTTTAACCGACAGGACTGCCTCCAGACCTTAAATTTGAAGCCTTCGGTTTTGAACCTGCCTCATCACGACTTGCAGAGCAAGAAAGGTGAGTCTGAGTTGCCAGATCATCGCGTCGAACATGTCCTCCACGTTTTTCGTGTCTTGATGTGTGCTGGAGCTCCCTAGTTGTAGCATATGGAACGAAGCAAAGAAAAGCAACGACCAAGCCTACCTTTCTATCTCCTCAGTCCATACACTGGAGATATCCATAGATGCTTGAGTTCGGAGATAGCAAGAAATTCCAAATTCACTAGACAGCTGCAGAGGCTCGTGCTGAAGAGGGTAGCCAGCAAGATGGATGGCAGCAGGGGGTCGGCATGATGAGGCCATCTGGCATACTTTCCTTGGATAGCCTTGCAGCACATGGATGCCTATGAAGATCATTTGTTCAGGGGCCGGATGTTCGTCGCAATCGCACTGGCACGGCGCTGAGTACTACTGCTTGCAATTGCAGTTTACGGCTTGTGGTACCTGCAGACTTAAACCTTCATTGTACCGGCCCCTCGGGCAGGAGATGTGGAATGAAGAAGCACGGTGCCAAGGGCGACGAGCGTGAGAGGTTTCCCAGAGGCCTTGGAGGATGCGCTTCTACGGTCACGAGCTCGTTCAAACTCGGAGCAGGCAGTCGCAGGCGGCTCACAGGCGAATGCTCGGGTCTTGACAGCTGCTGCCAGAGAGAGCCAGGCGAAACTGAGCCAATCTCATGCGCAGTGCCTTGCCAGCCTTGCCCGATCCTTGGCCAAATCGGGCACTCAGGGTGCACCGCCGATGCGAGGCATAGCGGCTGAAGCCCTTGCAAAGATCAAAGAGCAGACGATGCAGGGCCTGTCAAACCTGGCTTAAGCATGGGCTACCCCGGGAACCCAAGACCATGTCACGATGAAGGTAGCTGCAAGGCGTTCGCTGCAAATGCCACAGATAGAGCCACAGAGCTTGGCCAACTTGGTGCAGGCTCTTTGCACAGTCTTATCCTTCGACTCAACCTTCTTCGAGGCCATAGCCCAGTCGGCACTTCGCGACCTGTCTTCGCCCTCACCACAAAATCTGGCAAACGCTGGCCGGACCTTCGGCAACCTGGGCCGCGTTGGCCTTCCGTCGACGAGCGCGGCCGGCTGCACAGCCATCCCCCAGCTCCACGACTTCCCTGCCCGAGGCTTGGCAAACTTGGTCTAAGCGCTTGCCAGCAGCATGGCAGTGGATCGTCCTCTGACGGAGGCGGTGGCCAGGGCAGCAAGTGCCATTTCTCACACGTCCACGCCACAGAATATCTCAAACACGGCATGGAGGTTCGGGACACTCGTGGCTGCTGAGCAGCCATTGTCGAAGGCACTCGGTATGCAGGCAGTCGCACGCGGTCTTGAGCTCCAGCCCCAGGATTCGTCCAACAGAGTGTGGAAGACGGCCAACCCGGTGTGTTGACATGTGCCTATGTTGGAAGTTGCTGCATCTGTCGCCGCTCGCTGCTTACCCTCACCCAAACCACAAGATGCTGGCAACACTGCGCAGGCCCTTGGCAAGCTTGTGTCCTTTCACGATTCGTTTTCTTCGGTGCCGGCTACCTCCGCAGCTGTGAATTTCCACAGCTTCCCTCCGCAGAATTTGGCCAACACTGGCCGGAGGTTCAGAATGCTTCTGATTGCGAGCGTGCCTGCCATGCATGCGATCGTTGGCGCAGCAATGCCGAAGCTCGCAGCTTTCAATTCGCAGCACTCAGCACACATGTTCTAGTCATTTGGATCCTCAGCTGTGATTGCGCGACCTTTTCTCGAGGCTCTAGCCGAGCATGCAATCAAGACCGTGTTCGATCCCAACTGCCAAGAGCTCGCAAACAGCGTGTGGGAGTGCGCCAAGCTGGCTTTTGTCAATGAGCAACTGCTGGGTGCAACCATGCAGGCTGGCGGGGTCAGAATTCCGCATTCTGTACCACAGGACTTTGCCAATGTTTCTCAGGAGCTATGCAAGACAAGCTACATCGATGTACCGACAATGAGTGCGACGACGTCGGTGTCACTGCAGCGAGTTCACGAGTCCAATGCCCAGGATTTGGCGAATGCAGTGCAGAGACTTGCAAACGTCCAGTTCCGAAGCGTGCTGCTGATGCACTCCGCTGCACAGCATGCGGGTACACAGTGGTGCCGACTCGCTTAGGCGATGCCCTCGATCACAATAAATTTAATGTTCGTTTTGCTCGACTGATGGCTGTCGTGGTCGTTGGTGATGATGGGGGTTGTCTTCCTGCTAATTTGAGGAGGCGATGCAGTTGTTGGGACGGTTGAGGTGCCAACAGCGGTTGCTTCAGTCGTGACGCATCACGGCGTATGATATGGTAGCTCCGCCACCTGTGCCAATAGCCAACCTACCCTTTTTGTTCACATCTGTGTCGTGACTGTCGTGGTGTTGTCCTTAGTTTGGCTTGCTACAGCTAGGGTACATGACGGTCTTTCCAGCAGCTTCAGAAGACGTGGTGCTAGGGCCATGTCTTCACTTCCTTGCTGTGCCTGCTTGCCGTTTGGCTTAGATGCCAGGATGGGCCAGTTTGAGGGCTCGGACTTTTCAAGCACGGCCTGGTCTTTCTCCACAATGGAGTCGACGTGCGAGGTGCGGCTTTGACCGGGGAGGGCTGCTTGATTTTTGACAGGCAAACAGCACCAGCTGTCAGGCAAGGGTCAAAGCTTTCGCACATGGAGCGGGCTCCAACGACGCCCGCAACATCGCCGTGCTATAGATTGCTATAGGTAGGATATAGGAGAAAGAGTCATCCGTGCATGATCGCGACATGCACAATCAAGTCAGCGATGATGCCAGTACTTGTCATCTTCCTTCCCATGGTCGGGAAGAGAGCGAGAGCAATATGGCAGTTTCCGAACATAGGAACCGCTAGAAAGATCCTCAAGTCGAGGCCAGGTCTCTTATCAAGTGGACGTGCTACTAACCCAACAACCCTGGTCCCGAAATAAGCGCCAACACAATAGACCCTAAATTTAAGCTCGTACTCGCTCAGCGCAAACCTTTTGGAGCCCGGTAGAATCGGTTCTGTAGTCAGCAGCTTCCCACAGGCTCTTTTCGAAGCAATCGCCGGGGAGGCCGATCACACGCATCTCCTGGCTGTGGGCGGGTTCTGTACAGGTTCCTATCATGTTGAGCAAGTCCGATACTGGGGTCCTTATGCTCTATACTGGAGTCCCGTAATGAACTTCGTGCTTGAATCTCCCATTTCTACGGGAACGTGCCTATGTTTGCATTGGGCTTCTTGCTACAACGATTCACGCCAGTACATTCGTTAGTCACTCTCTGCAGGGTAGGGGCGCTCACAGTCCGTGGGCGATGGCTTGAGGCATATGTTCTGGTAATTGTCCTTCGTGCGGTTGTCAACAATACGTATTCTAGTGGTATTGCTGTGATGATCACATCGACCCTTAATGTTAGAACTTGTGCTGTCCCTTGCAGAACCGGCAGGTGTCCAAGAAGGTGGCCTCACTGGGCCCGCAGCAGCAGCTTTCCAGCAAGAGGTTCCTCACTGCCTAAACCTCAAGGACATAGAACTCCCAGAACACCAAAACCCAAGCCACCATCGGCACAATCAGAAATTCGTAGTCGACACCGCCGTCGCTACCCAAGAGCCAACAGCAGTGAGCCGGCGAATGTTTGAAGTGTGATGGCAGAGCTCGAGGGGGATTGCTACTTCTTGTGAGTTGTGTGTTTGCTGTCCATTGGTGTGGCCATAGTGGTCGTGGTTTGAGCACTTAGTATAAAACTTAGTGATGCATCGCTGGCGTCCATGCCGGGTTCTTCAATGCTGCGGTTGCAACGGGAGTAGCCACAAGATGGATGTCCAAATTGGCGTCCAGTTTAGAGCAGCCAACACTGCATACTGGCGCAGTGCAGCGATTTAACTGGCTGTGAGTTCATCTTCTCGGGCTGGACTTGAATTTGGGTGTGGCAATGCACCACAGCTGCATGCCTTGCCCTCTGACTAAGGTGACTTGTCAACTGTCGATGTTGCTTTGTTCAGTACCATGACGGTTTCAGCGCAATAAACCTTATAAATGTGAGTTGTGTTTATTCTTGTCGGAGCCACTTAGGTTGGGCACTCTGGCGGACCTGAACTTGCCCTGCCGACGCCCAACATGCAACGGCGCACCTGCAAATCGTGCAGATCGCTTGTGGGCCAAGTGGATGTGCACCAACCGACACGTGTTCACCGTTTTTGGTCTCGCAGAGGTCAGGGAGCAGTGGAGGAAGAGCTTCGGGCACTGCTCTCAGAGAAACGGGGATGCGGGTTCATCTATAGCTACTTGAGCCGACGATTGAGCTTTTGTTGTCCGAGGGTGGAGACGTTTTGTGTAAGTAGGGCTCCACACAGCCCAGTATTTTGGACGGGTTGACATCGCAGCCTTCCTTTAGCCGAGCACCTTCTGTTTGAGGTTTTGGAAGTCGATTATCCACAATTTTGCTGATGAGCTGTCAAGGTTGCTGAACAGAATCGACTTGAGAACCGGGCCATACTTCTGTAATACAAGATGATCTGTGGCCCATCGTGCGAGCAAGGTCATCATCCAGCAGTTTGCTGAAGACGTTCCCTCCTCGATGGACGGCTTCCGCTCCGGTGGGTACCAAGCCTTGGTGGAGGACACCTGTGAGATAAGGGAAGCTTCCTGCCTCGTAAAGCGGCTATAGAGATGTACGGCTACTGTATGCTACTGTCGTCCCAGTGTTGTGATGGGAGACCCAGCAGAGCTCATCTGTCGGGAGTCTAGACAGTGCCAGCAGTCATTCAATCCGTGCCTGCAAAGCCAAGACAGGCACAATCTAGCATCGGACACTAGAACACTGCAGCCGTTATCTCCTCCTTTTGCTGGTGACATGTCCCGCAGCAGAGAGGACTTGGCAGTGGACAGCTTTGGCAGCTGGGGCGACCGGCTGCTGTTGGACCTCCTGGGAATCCAGGAGTGCATGTGGGAAGCTCACAACAGCTTGTCCTGCAAAGTTGTTTGATGTCCGAGCGTCACGAATGAGGCTGGACTTCCGGCAAAAGGTCTGGCACCGAGTACCTTATGTAGCCGAGTCTCTGGATCCAAGAGAAGCTCCGCGTACAATGTACGGCACGACGCCGTGTCGCGACGTTGGAAACCCTGTGCAACTACATGCCAGCCGCATCTGGCCATTGCTGCAAACGACCGGTACGCTAAGTGCAACAGGAGCGTTTGAAACAGACAGAGCAGTAGCCATGGTGGTATCAGCTACATGCTTGATCAGGTAGTCGTGCTATGCAGGATGCATGGATGAATTGATATGTGTGTTTATTTTGTATGCATGGTTCAGGAAGGTATGTAGTCATACGGTATGTATACTCAGCGGTCGAGAAATTGTCTTAGCAGAGCGCATGTTGTACGTCCGACCAGAACCCGGCATGACGCGACAACATGTCAACGCCCGCGACAAAGACGCCGCTCAAACATGGACGTGTTTTTTGGAGATGCATAGACATGAACATGTCCTTTGCAAAAGGTCAAGCTGCTGTGATAAGCTGTCGAGTTTCGTTCCTTGTTGGAAGCACGTCGCCTGCCAGAAAGTTTGCGAGTTCTTCTTTGTTGCTGCTCTTGTACTGCCCAAGGGCCTCCAAAGCCCGCCCGGATCCCTGCACATCCCTCCTTCTGGTGATGCTTGCGAGCCTCCCTGGTGCTGCCCAAGGGCCTGCCAGGGGCTTGATTCTTATTGGGATTCCAACAGATTTTAAGCAGAAAGACTCAACAGAATGCTCAACACACACAGTGAGAAAAGACAGCGTCACGCGCAAAAGCACGACAGAGGCCTTACAACAACAGTGGCGAAACATGCAGGCCTTCTGTTGGAAGGGGCCTGCACATCTCCGCAGAAGGGAGCTTTTTACCTGGTGTTGCTTCCAGAAGGAGGGGCTGGTAGGGGCGTCACATCCCCTGCGCATCGCCTTTTTGCCCTGCTGCGTACGAGCATCCCAGGTTCCGCCCACGAGCATCCCAGCAGTTTCTCAGAGGGCCCACACATGTCCGCACATCCATCCTGCCGCTTAATTATGTGCTGCCCAAAGGCTTCTAAACGGGAGAGGACCCGATCCTCGTATCCAGTTTTTCTCGCGGCTGCTGACAGGTGCTGGCCAAAGCGTTGCGAGGGCCCTTCCGGAGGCCCTGACGCCCGCACATCCCTGCACAGCTTTGTCTGTGCTGCTGCCAAGGGCCTCCCGCACATCTCTGCGCACCCTTTTTTCGTGGCGTGCCGCCCAAGGGCTTCCGTGATCCGCGCACATCCCCACACAGCCCGCAGCCCTACACGTACATCCCTTTTTCTGCTGCTACTTATGGGCCTTTGAGGTGCCGCCCAAGGGCCCAGGGGCTTCGTTGCGAGGCCCTCGCGCCCGCGCATTCCCGCATCCCTGCTGCAGGGCATTGTGGTTGGCTTTGTTGTCGGGGTTGGATCTGTTAGTTGTCGTGTACCTTGCCGTGTTGGGGTTTAAGCACGCTGTCGGGCTTGGGAGCAGGAAATGGGCAGGCGCGGGAACCGGGGAAGAGGACGACGGAGACAGGGGGTCCTGTGGAAACCTCCGATCGTTTCTGCCGGGGCCGCAACGAATTTTCCTTGCTATTGTCTTGTATTCAGAGATAACTTTCACATGTTTGACATCATTAGCATGTCGTATCTTGGCAAGTACAGGATTTGTTGCACAAACTGTCATTGGTTGACTTCGTCACGGCGAGGCCAAGAAGCTTGCGGAAGAGTATCAGGAGCAACAGCAGAGCTGGTGGCGCAGTGTGTCTTGTCTATTTCAGGGCAGAAATCAAGAGTACGGACGAGATTGACCTATTCTGAGCAACAAGACTACCATGTTGGGTATGCAGGTGCTCGAAGCTGCTTCCTGCCCCCTGCAGCCGAGGAAAGCCTGCTACGCCCGCAAGTGCGAAGCTCGGAGAGGGCAGCGCACAGAGTGCCAGCACACTTGATTTGCAGTTGCTGGAGCCGTTTTCAGCGTGAGCTCGTGCGCTCACGCTATGTTGGTCTGCTCCACGGCAAGAGACGGCACAAGACGCCAACAAAGTGAGCAGAAAGCCCTTGCCAAGCCCTAACAGCAAGCTCCCACAGCTCCCGCCCTTATGTGGAAGCCTCGGCCAAAACAAACAAGCGAGTGACTTCATTGCCCATTTGCCGTAGCCGCAGCCATGGAAGCGCTGCGCTGTTACATGGAGGAGGCCCCTGGCCTGCTTTGTTTGCGTCGGGGCAGGGCCAGTTTAAAGCTCACAAGGACGGCTATGTTTCGGCTCCCATTTTGCACAAAGACGTAGACGTCAAAGTGCTGGAGCTGATCGAGGAGGCTGGTCGAACGCAGATGACATGGCATGATGCCAATCAGGAAGCAGGACTCGTGAGCGTGAGAGAGATTGTGGGAGAAGCTCAGGAGCTGGCACACATGCGGCAGCAGGGTGATGACTTGCAGCCATTGTGCATGCAGCCAGCCATGGAGACACTCCGTGCTTGTTACATGGAGGACCCGACCACGAGTTCCTTTCCTTGCGTATAGGGTGGAATGGGACTACTCAGAACTGGAGGTCTAGAAACGGAGACGGCTGTCCAGGACACCACGGCCGCAGCGCCTTTCGTTTCTGGCGACTGCTTGGATGTTTCGCAGGCGCCACCGTTTGGAGTGTCCTGTGCCTACTTCTACTGTAAGCACAGCTTGTTTTCCTTTCGTAAGTAGTAACGGCATCTCCCCCCGACGGCACAGGAGTTGTTGCGTGCGGCCAAGCACCGGCGCATCGATGTGAGACTTCAGCAGATGCAGGCACATAGATCTGCATTGGATTTCTGAGCCGGGGAGAGAGACATTCGAACAAAGCAGCCCGATTTGGAAGGCTTTGTTCTTTACATCCACGAGAATTTTTCTGTCAAATTTCCACCATGTCTAGGAAGGAAGGAAGGAAGGACTCGAAGAAAATGCGAAGTCCACCACATTACATCCCATGAAGTCGTGTTAAATTTTCTCAGCAGCCCACATGACGTCGGAACAGCGGGAAGCAACACAGGAAGAAAGCCAAGAAAGTCCAGGAAGCGCGTTATCCATCATTGATGTGCTTCTTATGGTATGTTTTGGAAAATCGAGGATGGAATGTTCAATGCCGTGCCATTCAAAGGCAATTTGCCATCTTGAGAAGGATAGAGCAATGGCAAGACACCGGGGAAGCGAGCAGCAGTCAGTAGGGTATGGACAGTGTGCTAGAACCCTTCACAACCAGCTGCGCTGTTTTTGATCAGCCGATCCAAGACAATCCAAGCCCTAGTAGTGGACTCGTAAACCCTAGCCCCGTACACAAATGCTCCAAGACAAGGACCAAACCCTGAAGGATTCGAGGTGGCAAGCCCTAAACAAAGGGTTTTGTGCTTGCAATTGAGCAAAAGCTTCGCCAAGGCAAGAGCCTACGCGCTAAAGTCCGGGACAGAGCAGCAAACCCCTGACGAAGAAACGGTTCGAGGCCGACTACAAAGGAGAGGGTGGCAAAACCTGACAGTCCCAAGGCCAGTAAACCCACAGCCGGCCGGGGACTGCAAAACTCCTTTTTCAGAGTTTATACAAGTGAGGAGTAGCAGAAAGCACCATCGGATCCCAAATTGGGTCCTAATTCTGGAAGTGATGGAGGATCACAAACCGCAACAAAAATGGAGTGGGAAGCGAGGAGTTCGGAACAGGCAACCCAACCGTGCAAGACAGGCTGTTTCACACAGATGCAATCAATCAAGCAACCCCGCCAAGCATCGTATTCCCCAAAGAGCCACCTATATACCCCAAACAGAAAAACACGGGGAGCTGCTGTTGCTACGGTGCCAAGGAGCTGTTCGATATGGAGGGAACTCAACGTACAATCCGTATGTATGTGGAGCAATTACACATACAGATCTTCCTTTCTGCGCGCAGATAACGTGTGCGTTTGTTATTATCCGGATTATCTTAGTATTGCAACCATAAACACGACGAAACTCCAGCGAGGACTCTGTTGACGCGCCCGGCAGGCGCCCGGCTTGCCGTTTGTGAATGTAAGCCACGGACAGGAGGACTTCAGGGTTTCCTGTAGGGGCCCTTCCCTGTAGGGGTTATGCAATGGCAGAAGAGCAGCTCATGGTGATTTAATTAAGAGGCCAACCCGAACCAAAGCTTGGATCCAGCAACAAGTCCCTACCGCCTGCTCCAAGCTGCAGGAGCAAGCAAACCCTTTCTCCGTTCCTTGTGTATATGACATGAAGACAGCAGTCATTCGCTTGCAAATCCATGTAAGCTCCAGCAATCATCGCACGTCCCAGCGGACTTACCTTTAGAAGGCTGTTTTAATGATAGCACAAGGCTGTTGCTGTGTCCGAGTCCATGAGCTTCCCACAGGCAGCGGCCCGGCGGTGAGCGAAAGCGCAGGATGGAGGACCAGGCTCGCTTTGTGCCAGACGCCAGGTCATGACAAGAAGTAAGCAAAAAAGCGGTGCCAAGACAAGCAGCAGCAGCCTTACTGACCGCCATGTTCACAGTGCTAGTGCTGCCTATGCTGCTGCTACGACTTCGATGACAACGCTCAAGCGTGCCGATGTGCGTGTCCGTCGTGGTAGTGGTAGTCGTCGTGCCAGCCGTGGCGGCATGGGTGGTGCAGCAGTCTCCACAGCTTCTAGCTGCTTGCTAGATTGCGGTGCTTAAGGACCTTCTGCTCCTTTGGTGCAGTAGCAAAGCATGCATGGGCGGGGTTCTAATCTCTAAGCTTCCGAGGGTCTGGCACGACTTGAGATTCCTTCTCACAGCTTTCCGGACGAAAAGGGTGTAACTAGTGGATCGTGCCCACCGACGTGCCAAAGTGACCAGAGGCCGCTTTGCATTAATCGGTGCGAGGTTATTGAGCCGCCACGTTCGACCAGATTGAACTACGAGGCCAGATTGCTCCCAACGGGCACAGAACAGCCTGCAAGATGTTGCGTTCACTGCCGCAGGGAACCCTAGACTTGCAGAGGGTGCTTTTGAATGTGGGCTGAGAAGACAAAAGACGAGCTGAATGAGTAGTTAGACCATGCTTCCTCACTACTGGCAATTTTGGAGATCGTTGACAGGGATCGAATGTAGGGTGTCACAGAGCGCCTGTGTTGTGAAACCGGCAGTCGCAACAAGAATAGCTGGAGTGCAGTGAGAAGCCTTGGGAATCGCATGCATTAAAGTTTAGACCCCAAGTCATACCCCCGTGCGACCGCGAACTCGACTGTTCATAAGGAGTTACACAGGAATCCGAGCATTCATTTTGTCTTGGCTCCTAAGGAAGGGTTGACCATGTAAAACTGCAGACCCGGTGCCAAAAAACATGTTCTTAAAGTCCCTGAGTTTTATCGGTTAGGTTGATTGGAAGCTCTTTTATGTGAGTGTTAAGGCTCTTGCTTGGCCACTGCATCCGAGCTGTGAGAGCGTGAGGGCCCTGACCTTGCGGATGAGTGGGCCATTGACTTTACCATTATTGAGCTCCTCAGCCCCTACAGACTGGTGACCTCGGGATCCTGTTTGACGTAGGGCTTGTATTATTGTGAATATCCCCAAATTTTAAAGTGTCACAACATCCACAAAATCTATTCACTCATGATTTCAATCAAGCCCTCCTTTCACATCGTTTGGGCGTGTTGATTACATCGGGTCCTTGTCGTGCGAGACAGGTCAAACTCTCCAGTCCGATGTGCTAGGCCCTAGTTTTCATGCAGTGTCTCCCTAATCCCAACTCCTAACATGGGAGCTCCAGAGGTTGGCTTTGGTGTGGGTTGCAGATTGAAGCTTCTGCACAGCACAAACCGCAGATGAAACAGGCTTCGTGCAGCTAATTCCTTTGCGGAGGCGAATCCAGAAGAAGTCATGGAAGACTGTCGGCCGAGAGATACAGGCCTGGGGGTGTGGATAGTTGCCCGAGGAGTGCGGCTGGCCCCTCGCCAGGCGACAAAAAACAATTCGAAAATGGCTTCCTTGTGCCGAGTTCGGATAGGCTGGGTGCACATCTTCCTTTCACCAGCTCGTCTACATTCCCAGTACTCAGGTGACCTCGACAGCCTGCGTGCGGCTTGCTACATGCAAAAAAGCTGGCGGCTGCGCGTTCTGACGCGGTTGACTGCTTCATGACAACTGTGGGATGAGCGACCTCGACTCAGGTCGTAAGCGTGGCCGAGATTGACATCAGAGCTGGCGATTTTCAGGTGGCCGCTCCAAGTCAAGAGGGCAACTAGATCCGGGATTCCGCTTCCATGACTGGAGCTTGTGCATGAGACTTTGCCGTGCCTTGCTTGGGCCGATCATGGTTCTCGGCCGCGACTGAACCAGCCCATATAGTGAGACCATAAAGTGACACAGCACAGCGGCGAGCTAAAGCGAAGCCGACGACATCGACGGCGACAACGACTGCAAGAGCCTCAAAAGCCTGGCGGACACCCGATTCAGGTGAACTCTATGAGCTTCCAGAAGAATGGCTTTGATGGCTGGCGTCCTTCCAAGGATATCGGCACTTGTCATTCTTAAAGGTAGAAGGGCTGAAGAGTCATCTTGCGATTATTGTTGCTGGTTTCATGATCTTCATTGCTATGGGCTGCGGTCCCATGTGCCACTCTGAAGATTCAGGCTCTTTCAGTCCAAACTCTAAGTAGACAGCGAGCAGCGGGCTTAAATCTTTAAAGGGAAAGTTACGAACCTTCCTCGTACCAGATCGAAAAATACGCGGGCTTTGTTCTCTCAGCCGCGTGATTAAAGGTTTTCCGTTGCCGCTTGGTGTTGCTGGCTGGGTGGCTCAAATGACAACGTGATCAGCTCGTGCTAGTGCCCAGGGAAAGGGTGCCTGGTGCCTCTTCCAGGCATTTCGTTGAGATCCGGGCTGCTGAGGCGGCTTAGGTTTAGGCCAAACCCACAATGATACCACAGTCGCGGCCCGGTCCCATAGAGAGATCTACAGAGACTATGCAAGTGCTCCGGAGTGCCTACAACCGCGTCCCAAGAAAGAATTCAGCAGAAGGGCATAGGGTTTGGACTTTTGGGCCGTGGAGGGTTTAGCTTTACCCTTCTCAAAACCCAGCCTTTCATGCGCCAACTGGGAGGAGTGGCTGCGTCCCACCGTCCTTCCGCTCGGTTCTAAGAAGATTTGCCATTGTGAAGGTGCCCTCAGGTCAGTAGATAGGCGAAGGATGAAATGGCAATGGCCGCGTCAATCATGGCAGTTTCTTCCAGTACTAGAGCCCAAGGTTCAACTGCCTCGTGGATCGGAGCCTATGCAGTGAGAATCAGCTCCTGTCAAAGTTGTATGAAAAGTTGCACGACGCACCTTGCCGGACTGAATTCAGTTGCCAGCCACCAAGCCTGCCTTGTGGTGAAGCTCACGAGCGCGAATCTGGCTCAGGCAGCCTTGTCGAAGACATCCTGCCGCCCAGTCGGTCGAGTGCAACTGTACGTCACGGGAGCCCCATGTTTGTCCTGTGTCGCCCGCCGTGCAGACAGATAAACGTGGGGCATGCCGCGCTGGGGTGGCCACGCGCTCAAGTTCTTTGACTTTAGGCAGTGCAAGCCGAGGTTGGTGCCATGAGGCAGTTCAGCATGCTATTGCCGCTGGCATTAGCCTTAGCTTTGCTGCATCTGGCAGACCCTCGGCAGCCATCTCCCTGCATGCAGACATGCACAACGGTTCGCATGTGTCGATGCCCCGAGGTCCAACTAAACATCTCTATTGGACCTGAAATTCGGCCCGATCTTTCTCAACTGCTGGAACTCCAGGCACGAGAGAAAGATACCGCATCTTATTCCTTGGTGTATAACTACGAAGGTGTACGGTTTCATTTGCAGATTAACCCGAACCCAGCTGTTTAGTTTCCAGTCATACGAAGCAGCATCCGCTAACATAAGTATCTCCTAGCCTGTAAGACTAGAGTCGATGATCAGGCCTGTTTTATGTATACGTATGTAAAGACATGCAAATTATACTAATATGATAATATCGTACCTGAATTAGACTTATCGGCAAATCATCGTAAGATTCTCACGATTTTAGAGTTGCTGTGTGCGACATTAGATGGAATATATAAATTCATTAACTCGCATCAGATTATTTTTCCTCGTGTCGTTCCATTATGACTTTCTAATCTTGAATAA